GGGGCGCGGGGGCGGCCGGGGAGGGTCGCTCACTCACCGCGCTCCGCAGGAGCCTTCCCAGCGCGGCCGCCATCTTGAGCGCCTCACAGGCGGGCGGAGCCGGGCGCTGTGAGGGACGGGGCGGCTCCAGGTCCGCCCCCGCCGGGAGGGCCGGCCGGCCGGCCGTATCTCACCTTCCCCCCCGCTCCGGCCGGCCTCCTTCCTCCCGGCAGCGGTTCCGTGAGGGGGACCTGCCCTGGGCTCAGCCTGTGGGCGCCGCCGGTCCCCGTGCTGAGGCGGGGCGGGGGGGGGTTCCCGCTGACGGGACTGACTGTGGGACCTAGTTGTGGTGTGTGCGGGTACAGACCGACACGGAGCGAACAGCGTGGAAACCTCCCAGGCACGCAGACTTTCCACGTGCCGTTGGCGCTGACTTTATCGGACTCGCTCAGATTATAGCTGTTAATTAAGCAGTTACCGTGCGATAGCCGCGTGCCTGCTTAGCTCTTCTCGGCCGTGAGCTGATGCAAACCAAAGTCATTACCTAATTTCCCACACAGGCAGTGCTGCGTTGAGCTGAATGTGTGTCTGTGGCCTCCGTCTGCTCTGGAGGTTTGTCCCAGTTCCCTTGGCTGCACGGACCATCGCCGGTCACCCCCAGTTCCCTTGGCTGCACTGGAGAACCACCGGTCCAGCCCTAGAAGAGCAGTTAGGGGACACATTTGCTGTAGGGGAGGTAGGAGAGTCATAAAAAACCCCATCGCAGGCCTCCCGTCTCCTGCCAGACGAAAGCAAGTGCAGGAAAGTTAGTCCAGCTGGTGGAAGGGACCACACCTGAGATCTGTAAGTCTTTCTGTTGCCCTGAAGCTGGGGTCTTCAGAGAGTCTGCTGTTGAAGCCCAGGCCCCCGCAGCTGGAGCCAACGGAGCTACTTTGACAGTCAGTCGAGCGGTACAAGGTTTTCTCAGGCTATTTTTGTTGACTACCTGATGGTGGCAGCAACAGAGATCACCTTCACCAAGAAGTGCCAGCTGCCTGCCCTGTGTAGGCCATGTGCTTTGGAGCAGCACAAGCGGTGTGCACAACCCAGAGTACTGAAAATGAAACAAACACTCCCTAAGTCCATTAATATTTATAAATATCCACAGCCTTTTACGAAGGGGAGATCCCACCTAGTGAACTAGAGAGAAGTCTGGCTCCACTCGCAGGATAAGCTCAGCCATCAGCATCTGGGGCCAAAGCCAAAGGCAGATGGAGCAACATCAGCTACATCCCAGGCCCCCGGGATGAGCTCAATGGATGCTGAATCTGTATTTCTGAACAAATTAGCAAACTTATTGCTGGCACTGATCTGGCTGGCGTGGTCTGGTCACCTCTGCAATAGTAAACTCTCTGAGCCTTCAAGAGAGGGAGGTTGCGTGCAACCTGCCTGTTAGGACTGGTCGCTAGCCAGTATTAACTCTCTACTATGCCCAAGAACTGTTTGGGGCAGTGTAAGTCAGTGTTGTCCAAAAGCATGCTGAGATCTTTCCGAGTATTTAACATCATCACCAGTTTCAGTTGCTGGTACCTTTCTGTGGCAGTCCTGAATTTATTAATCCAGATGTAGCCAATGACAGCTGGAAATGTGGCTCTGATAACCTTCTCAAAACCTGTAGTTCCCAGAAGAGCACACAGAATAATGTTATCTACTCATACGTGCACAGACATACTGCGTGGCTGGCTGGGCTTGTGATGAAGATGGAGGCGTTCTGTACAAGGGTGCAAGAGATGAACTGTTCCTATAGCCGTGGTGAGATGAGGGGGAAGAAAATGTGGATGCTAAAGGATACAGATACCCCAGTATGGGGTCCACCCGCATAGTAGTCTAACTGCTTCCTGCATCCACTGATTTCCTTGAATTCAAATAGACTTCACTATTGCTTTTGATTTTGAAGCTGTTCCCTCCAGGCTCAACACCCCCTAACAAGCTCTGAGTGTGCATCTGAGCATGTGTGCGTAGGTGTGCGCAAGTGCAGTGCTGGGTCAGTGAACTATCAGGTTCTGAGTTAAGCAACCTTCTGTACCCCTTGCTTCTCATTAGCACTTCATTAATGGAAACCTGAAGGTGTGTGAGAGAGAAGTTCAGTTTTGACTCTTGCTGATGAACCAGGGCTGCTTGAAAGTGCCAGCTGGATGGGGACTCTGCTGGGAAGGTTACTGGCTGAGCAAGGGGGGGCTGGCTGACCTACTCAGCTTATTTGCATGTCTGTTGCCTGAAAGTTAGGGGCATTCTTGCTTAAAAACCCCTCAAAGCCTAAAAGTGGAAGTGAGTAAACTATTTGTATGTTTAGAAAATATGACAGCAGTGTGGGTGAGTCATGCTGTAGCCTGCAGCCCTGGAGATGGAGAGGGAAGGAGCAGTTGTTGAGATATGTGTCCACAGTAGAGGTGTGGGAGGTCTTCGTGCCACTGCTGAGGGCTGCCAGCGGAGAAGTGAGCAGTGGAGCTGAGCCCAGGACACCTGCAGAGCAGTGATCGTCGGTGAAGAGTAGCAAAGAAATGTCAACCATTACCTGGGCCCATTCCCTCAATAGCAGTGCAGAATGGCACATCTGCGTTCATGTCTGCTGGACTGGCACATCCCCTCAAATGGAGAGACTTACTTGCCCAGCTGAGTCCCATGCAGCTGGGCAGCAAATTGTGCACCCAGGGACAGCTGGGCCACAGCGGTTCCTTTCCCTCAGCTGTGGGAGCTGTATTGTGGCAGCAAGAAAAGGGCTATTGCTAGGATTTCCTGAGGATGGTTGTCTCACCCACAGATGATTATTCACAACTTCTAAGTTGATGTATTCTAAAACGATGTCCTTTCCCCTTCCCTGGAAAGTTGTATTTGTTTAAAACTCTTTGTTTAAACACTTGGCTTGCAAGTGGGGAAATATTGCTCATGCTTTGTTATGAAGGCAGCGCAATTCAGCTTCTCAGACTTATGGGCAAGAGCTTGAACTACTGTGATTTAACAGGGGGTTTATTTTCCATTTTGCTTTTTACCGGGCATCCCTACAATTTGAAGATCGACCTCGTCACTGCCAAAGCACACCTGGCGAAAGAGTTGTTCCTTTTTCCTCAGCTCTGGTTCTGGCACAGGCTAGAGCAGCTGCTAAACCCAGTTCTTGCCATACAAAGGTCAAAATAAATCTACTGAGCGGTACCATATGTGCATCTTTTTCCAAATCTTGTTGGTTGTCTGCTTTGCCGTCTCCCACAGGCTTTCACCTGGCCAGACAAGCCCCAGTCTCATATCTCATCCTGCAGTGAGGGAGTGCTTGTTCGTACTGGTGCAGTGCAAGCTCAGTAGTGCACAGACATGTTTGCATGTGAAGGGTTAGAGTCTTTAAGCCTGATACAAACTGAGACATCTGAAGTTGGTGAAAGACTCTCCAGGAATTTCAGCAGACTCTAGGGAGAAGTTTGTATTGCTACAAGGTGCAGAGCAGTGGATAAGGTGCTTGAACGGATAATGGGAGATGTAAATTTTATTTTTAGTTAGGGTACTTATCTGCCTGCTCTCACCTTGTGCCTCTTTTTTCCTATCTGGGAATAAGTAAATATGCCTTTCTGGTGAAAAACTCTGAGGTCTGTTGATAAAAAGTGCTAGATAATGCTTGTGTGTTGTTACTATTATTGTTTTGTGAGAGCTAGGTTCTAAAGAGCTCTTTGAAAGATTGTCATTAACACAACCAAATATTAGTGAAGGAGTATTTGCTTCTCTCTAAACTTGATGAAAGGGGTGAGCAAATCCCAAATCAGATCTGCTGCTGTGGGTCATTAAATGGCAGACTCTGTGGACAGAGTACGGGATGTGTACGTCTGCTTGTTTAAAAAATAAAATCTGTTCATCTTCTAGAAGGTTATTTTATTCCATGTGCTCAAATGCTGTAACAATCATTTGTCCTCTACCTTGAGGAAATAGATAACTGAAAAAAAGGCTTGGAAATGGGAAGAAACGAGGGAGGCATAAACATTTGTATCTAAACCAAAGCAAAAAGTTTGGTTTAGACAACACGATGCATCACCCCATGGCTGTTGGTAGATGGCAGCCTCTGTCCTTACGCAAAGGGGCTCTGTAAAAGGTTACAGCTGCCTGCAAATGCTTTCTCATAGGCCTGTGTGCTCCCACCTGCTGATAGCGAATCTCAGCAGGAGGCAATAGAATTTGCCTGTTTGTAGCAATAAGTTTCAGGAGGAATTCCAAACATAATCCAGCTTAGAGCTAACCATGAACAGGCTTTGCTGCATTAATTGCGTGTTATACCATGGATTTAGGAGATAGGTGCTGTTAGGGTATGTTTCCAATTGATAAGTATAGGCAAAAGCCCTTTCGACATCTGGTTCACTGGGGGTCTTATCCTGACATTTCCAGCAGGCGGTACTGAGGCCAAGTGGTTTTCCTCTGGTGGCAGGATAAAACTGGGTGTGTTGCTGCTGTGTTTCTGGCTGGAGCTGCGTGAGCCCACCCTGCCGATGACTCATCCCTTAGAGTGGCTCAGAATATCACACTCTGCCTTGCTGCTTTCCTATTCCTATTACACTGATGCATTTGGGTCTCGCACGGTGTTGGCGTTTCATTTACAAACCTCTCTTTTCCCATAAAGGAAAGATGGCTGCCAGCCCTGCTTTACCCTGATGTTCAGCACTCAAAAAGGTTTTTTTTTCTGGGCCTTTCCTGAATGACTTCAGATGAAGATTTTTTTAGAAAGCAGAACAACCAAACACATTAAGCACCTTAGAAAGCACATTTTTCAGAGTTTAACTGTTTTTTGGTAGCCTCTCCTTTTTTTTTTCCTTCCAAAATTGGCTGCTTCTGCATATGATTCAGACTAAATTTTCCCTTTTCTCCCAGCAAGCACTGAATCAGGATTTTTAGGCCAGCAAAAAAAGACCTGTGTTCCTTCCCTGCCACCCTGTCTTTGAGTCCATGCTTGAGTATTTCAGCATCAGAGTTTATGACAGTGAGTAGAGTAAGACAAGCAGTAGAACAGACTCACAGGTCTCCTGTTTCTTTCTCCCTCACTCACAGAGAACCTGACTGCTCCATTAAATCAGGTGTGGACAT